TTGTACCATGATTTTCTTTATTTATTGGTTGTCTTTTTATTTGCCCATTGAAGGCAGATGTATTTTGATATAGTCTCCATACGTTCGTGAACTTTCTCTTGTCCCAGTCCTAACTTCTGATCCACTGAAGATAATTTAACGAAACTTCATACTAGAGGTGCACCAATTGCAGTTTTCTGGTCGATCACAGATCTCTAAAAAGTTTGACCTGCCGATTCCGATTTTGGCCAATACAGATTTTGTTTATAAGCGACACTGTCAGGTGTTATAAGGTCACAATGCACCTTCAATTTTACAATCTTATTTTATTGAAAAACGTTACCTTGAACAATACCCTAGAAGCAATACAAACTTGTTTTAACTGGCCATTAGGTAGTGCTCTGAAATAAAAATGAAGTTCAAATAGTCGTTGTTAAAAATACAAACAAATCTGTAAAATCGGTTTCTCATGCAAATATCGGCCGATTGCGATCACTCAAAATTAAGGAAATCGGGGCCGATAAATCGGCCGGCCAATTTATCGGCGCACCCCTACTTCATACACAAATGCATCATCAGTAGACTAAGTGTCACATACAAGTTTCATCACCCCAGTTCCAAGGTCAAGGTCACATATTAAGGTCAAATATTATACAAGGTCTTTGCTTGCCCTGGCCATTTCTATAGATTGCTGTATAGTGGTTTTTCGACATATGTATAATGTGCCGTATGCAGTACTCTTGTTTGCTCTATCAACAAATCAAAATAAGTTTGACAAACTCTTTAGTTGTTGCTTTGTGTAAATTGTTGCTGTTAATTCTTAATTGGTTGCAATTTACAGTCTTCATTATGTTTACTTGGTGTATTGATCATTTGTTGTAAATTCATTCTTTTGAATGTTCAAGACTTTCAGTTTTTGAGTCCCCAGTTTGTGAAATTAACCAGTTAAAGTTAGAAACGGCATCTGTGTGTTTGTCAGGTGGAAAGGTTTTATTTGAGACTTAATTTTGCAGAACACAGATTAGGCTAAAGATAACTTCCCTTTTTTTCCTGTCCCTGTTAGGGGTTGAACAACTACATAATTTTTAAACTCGACATTAACATAATAAAACTTGAGTAGAACTCGAGTAGTTGATGACGTCATAGGATCGCAAGATGAAAAAATAAATAAATAAAAAATAAAAACACAAAAAAAGTCATTTGTTATTTACCAACAAAAAAAAAAGACCACCAAAACATTTGGAGAGTATATTATGCTCCTACCATTTATCATTCTGCAAATAAGTCACAGGAAAACCAAAACTATTAGTTATTATTATGAAGCTGCAAAAGTGAAATAAATAACGTGCAGCACGTCAAAAATGAAACTAAAAACAGTGGGGCGGACGACCACCCCACACCACTGCCAGCTGTGGTGCGTATTAGGTTTAGTTTTACAGATTAATATGTTTATAGGTTTTTTTATAGGTTTAGAGATTAATATTTTTTGCTTTTAGTTTGTGAAACAAGGTCAGAGGAAGCTGGTTCTGGTTCGGACGATTAGAGCCTGTGTTACACCATATTCTGTGACCAGCAACAGTGCATGCAACACCGCCCCCTACAGTCACAATATACGGTGGACACAGAATATGGTATAACACCAGTTTGCAACGAGCTCCAAACAGTCAGGAAGTTGATTCATTTTCTGTTTCCTTACGGTAGTTGAACCGGAAGATTCATCTTTAGTAAAATATTTCCATACTATTGATGCATTTCTACCTGTTTGCTAAGACTGGGCCTGCTCCGCTCAGTCTATCTGCTGGGAGAAATCCATTTGGTAGCTTCTACTAGTAGCCCGGTGCGGATCACGTGACGCAATGACGTAATTGTGACGTAATGACGTCACTGTGGGGAGTGGTGGTGCAGAGGTTAGAGAAGGTGGGCCTGTGATCGGAAGATCGCTGGTTCAAGCCCCGGTACCGACAACATCAAAAATGTGGGTGGGGTAGGTGAAGCACCCACACTTGCCCCCACCCTCATTCGCCCCACTCTGTGCCCATGAGCAAGGCCCTTAACCCCCACCATCTGCTCCCTAAACAGGTCTCTCTTGAAAATTAGTTCTCATGGCTCAGTGAGACTACCTGGATAAATAAAGGGTAAATGAAAATTACGTCACTGTGAATACTTGACGTGAAATTTAAAAACTCGATAGATGTCCTAGGTATCGACCTGTCGATTACTCAAGTAGTCTTTTAAAGCCCTAGTCCCTGTATAACCAAAGCCAGAGCTGTGTTTGACTCTGCCAATAATGCCCCTCATCTCCAATCCAATTTGTGATGTTTATGACCAGGTTCTCAAGACACAGAGGAGAGTCTGGTTTGGGAACTTTTTTTTGGGGGGGGGGGGGGTTGGTGTCTTTAGACCATGACCTTCAGTGTTCACTGGGGCTGTTCACAGCTGAGGGAAGTAATTGCAAAAAGAGTCGGATCTTTTAAGTGTTGTTTTATAAGACATCTGAAGCCAAACAGTTGGCTCAAGATACTTGGTTAAGAGACAGTCTTTCACATGCAAACATGCCATTCACAGTCCATGAGACACATGGTGCAGCGCTTTTGGAAAACCCCTCATGCTGTAGTACGTGTCACGCACAAAGCCGTTGCTTACCCCAACTTGGGAAACCCCGTCATCATGTTGGTGCCCATTTCCAGTGCTTCACAACAATGTCCAGACACTGAAGAACAGTTTACACACCGGCACATGTTTCTTCCCAACAGGATCTCCACTCTGTTCTTGCGTCCACCATTTGGCCATAACATCTGGAAGCAAAACAGTTGAAGCTAAATTACAACATTGCTGTCCAAGCTCATTTCTGCATAAACGAACACACCCTCAAACCTGGCTATTCACACAGTACTTTGCACATACCCTGTGAGAAAGACTCACTCATCCTTTTGTCTTTAAATCACCTCTTGGTCTGTTGCCTTCATACATCTCCTCCTACATGTCACTTTGTGAGTGTAGCTACAGTGTGCGCTTTCAGGACATTATTACTGTACTTGCCACCGTATATGTCCCACCACCAAATAAGTCGCATCTGTCCAAAAATGTATAATAAAGTGGAAAAAACATAAATAAGTAGCTTTGTCGTATAAGTCAAATCTATTATGCATCACCGCTGACACATCACGTTTGTTATGCGTCACTGCTGACTACCTGGAAACGTGGGCTGGTGTTGTGCCAAAAATTGATTGGCTGCCAAATGGCGTGCATGGGAGGACTTTAACAAGAATTTAACAAGATTAACACTTATAAACAATTGTTTGTTTGCTCGACATTATAGTAAAGGTGTGTCTCAGTTGAACTTTTTCTTAATAAATGCACTATATTGGTCAAATCAGCTGTAGTTCGACTGTGCAGCGCAGCAAAATGAAGCTAATTTGACATTTGCTCCAGGATTTCCAAAGTGAGACGGTGGCAGCTTCTATGGCAAGCCAAGTGTCTCATTAATAGCCACTTTTACCTATTAATGAGGCACTTGGCTTGCCACATTGTTTGAGGGCCCTCTTGTGGCTGAAAATGGTAGTGTTCAATATTTCCCATGTCGGAATGAATGAAATCGTCAGATCTCAGCTAAAACTTGGGTTATAAATATGGAGAAAAAAACGTATATTAGTCGCTTTGCCTTATAAGTCGCAGGACTTGCAAATTTATGCAAAAAGGTGAGACTTATATCGTGAAAAATACGGTACTTGCAGTGTCCACTCAGTGTGGACCTAACATGGCAAGGGACCTTCTCCTACTCTGTTCCTGTAACCTGGAATAACTTGCAAAAATATCTGAAGCTCTTGACCTTGACCTCTCTAAGGGATTTTAAACAACTGTAAGTTATGGCAAATACCAACGCAGGCATGTTCCTGTTTTTAGTATCTTACATCGTTTTATAATGTAGCTGTTCTTTGTTTTGTTTTATATATATATAATTTCTTCTATTTACTTTTCATTTTATATGCTTTTATGTGACTGTCTATTGTTGTCTGTACCTCATTTGTGTTCTTTGTTTAAAACAGGTCTTTCTTGTAAATGAGTCCTTGTGGCTCAATGAAACTAACATGTATGAATAAAGGTTGAATGAATGAAAAAGCCTCACTCAGGAAGACTGAGTCTCCCTCAAAGTTAAGTTATTGTGGGAAGGAGCAGGAGATGGGCAGATAGAATGTGGCCTCGTTCTCAATAATAAAGGGGTTGCTCCTATCTGTTAAGGTAAAGAAGGAGCAGAGCCAAATGGCAAAACCTTTGATTTGGTTGTCCATCCATTTTCCAACTCACCTGGTGTCCTTGGGTACATATCACGACTGAGGAAACAAGATCTCTGATTCAAGAGGTTGAAATGAACTTCTTCTGTAGGGTGACTGTGTTCAACCTTAGAGAGGAGCTTTGTCAGCAGGGATGACCTCAAAGTAAAGCTGCTGCTGCATTGTGTTAAAAAGAGTCAATTGATGTAGTTCAAACATCTGATTAGGATGACCCCTGGGCAGACCCAGAACTCACTGGAAGGGTTATATACTATTTCTGGTCTAGAAACACCTTGGGATCCCCCAGGAGGCGCATGTAGAGCAGGGGTGTCCAATCCTGGTCCTCAAGGGCCACTATCCTGCATGTTTTCCTTGTTTCTCTGCTCCAGCACTCCTGATTCAATGGTTTAGTTAGCGCTTCTTGTTCTGCAGAAGCCTTTTAATCACCCATGGATACAAATCAGGTGTGTTGGAGCAGAGAAACACCTGCTGGATAGTGGCCCTCAAGGTCTAGGATTGGACACCCCTAATGTAGAGTTGCTGAGTAGAGGGACGCTTGGGTTTTCCTCCTGAACCTGTTGCCTCAGGGACCTGACCACATATAAGCAGAAGATGATGGATGGACAGAAAACTGTTATGGTTAACTGAATGAAGTCTTATTAATATAAAAGAAGTGTTTCTATTGAGTCTAACCTCATTCCATGCTGTATTTAAACCTACTTTCTTCCTTTCTCCACTCTGTCTCTGTAGGAGAGAAGTCTTATCTGTGTGACCTGTGTGGGTTTGCAGGAGGCACGAGACACGCCCTCACCAAACACAGACGCCAACACACAGGTAAGCTGCGCCTCAAACAAATCCAAGAACAAACTAACTCGTCCATGCAGACTTTTCTAATCTTGGCAGGTGATTGACACTTTGAGATCCGAACCACCGTGTGGTTTAGGCGACTGTTTGCCGCGTCTCGCTCACACATGGGCACATGAGCATGACACGCCACTGACGGTGATGGGCATGTGTACGAGAATGGCTGACTGAATCTGAGATTTTTAATTTCAGTTATCATTTCACCATGTCATTCTGTCACTTTGGGAAATTGCATTTTTCAGATGGGCTGTCAATAACAAGTGTTTTTTTTATTTTTGTGGGGGGGTGGGGGGTTGAGATAGTGAAACAAATACCATTCTTAACCGTTGTCTGGCAGGCGTCCAACGATCAAGAATACTGTTATAAATATTAATTTAGTTTGCTCCTCAAATTTTGCTGCCTTCTCACTCTGATTCCTCCAGTTCGTGTCCTCCTCTCCTGTGCTCACATGTGTCACTTCCACTCATTTAGCTGCAGAGTCCATGACAGAAGATTTGTTCTCTAACCCCAACATTTGTCTGGGGAAAGTTTTCTAACAACGTGTTCTACATTTATTTTCATTACTTGATTTTTACAACTTTTTTGCAAAAGATGTTCAGGACACCTGGAGTATTCGTTCTTAATTTATGACACGGTCTTTTTGTGGGGCGGCATGGCGGATCAGTTGATAGAACTGCAGCCTCTCAGCAAGAAGGTCGCCGGATCAAATCCTGGCTGGGGGCCTTTCTGGGTGAAGTTCGCATGTTCTCTCCGTGCATGCGTGGGTTTTCTCTGGGTACTCCAGGTTCCTCTCACAGACCAAAAACATGCATGTTAGGCTGATTGGTAACTCTAAAGCCCCCAGTATACTCCCGCATACGTACGTCCACACGATACGCGCGTACTGTACGCAGAAGGTTCAGACTTTGTACTCGAGCATCCACCCTGAGCGGCTGCAGAGCAGCTCCACAGACAAGGGGCGTTTACCTTTGGGACAAATTGAGGTCGCCGATTGGTCATTTGCTGACACGCCTACTGGATTGATTGACAGGTCAGGAAAAAAAAAAAACGAGCGCCGGCAGCCTCAGCTGCAGTGGTGTTTTGTGTTTATATGTTGTTAATAAAAAGATCTAAAAAAAATTTAAAAAACAGGGAGCGCTGGTCCTGCAGCCCACACATCAGACCAGCCCACCAGGAAATCTCCAGACCCTCCCGCAGCCACGCTGGACCTGAGTTTAATTCGCTCGTGACAAATTCCTTCATTTCTCACCATTTCAGTCATGGCATCAACGGAAGTGGAAGAGATCACTGCCTGTTGAAAAAGCAAACAAAAGAAAAGGTCAGATCAGGGATGAAGAAGGGGAATTTAATACATTGGTGTCACATACAAAACAGTCCGTCGCTGGGTGGTTTATTGTGCGACACCACGTACGCGGTCATAAAATTGAGCTTTGCACAGACACGCCCTGCGGGGGTAGGCTCGCACCTCCATGTACGGACGTACGCAGGACTATACTGGGGGCTTAAATTGGCCCTAGGCGTGAGTGAGAGAGTGAATGGATGTTTGTCTCATTTGTCTCTATGTGTCCCTGTGATGGGACTGGAGACCTGTCCAGGGTGTCCCTGACCTCTTGCACTGTGATGGATGGACATGGGCACCAGTGACCTCCATGACTCGAAAAGGAAGAAGCGGGTAAAGATAATAGATGGATGGATGGCCTTTTTGATAACTTATACCTACAAGCCTGTTTGTCCTCTGTCGCAGAGTGAGGGGAATGGGAAATACCCTCTGATCCATGCATGTTGTGAGCATGGTAACTGGAAAAATATGCAACATGTCAACTTCCATTTTGGAGTGTGGCTGCATCCAGGTTAGAGCTGTCATTTCTAACCCGGGCCCGCATCAGGCCGGGTCAAAATAATGTGCTGGATGGGCGGGCTGGGCCGGTGTCGGGCTTTTGATTGTGTCAGCGGACGCTCGCGGCTGACGATCCAATTTGGATCACCATCAGTGTGCGACCGGTTGAAAGAAGTAAAAATAAAGTTCAGTTAAGCTTCAGATGGAACTCTGTCAGCAATCCATCCGAAGCCCCACTGGACTCAGCCAGTGCATCAGCGGACGCATGCAGCCAGGCCCAGCCGGTTGAAAGAGGTGGAAAAAAAAGTCCAGATGGATGACTGCCAGTGACCCACCTAAAACTTAACTGACTCAGCTGCTGCGTCAGCGGACGCGCACCTGTCCAACAACCCAATTTGGATCATCAGCCGCCCCATCCGCCGATCGTTAATAACTATAATAACTATAATATTATAATAACTATAATAATCCACTGACTCCTGTTAATAAACAAGAAATCTTATATCTTCCTTTCTTTGAAATATGTTTTTAAATTATGTCAAACTGATTTGCTTACCAAAACAGTTAAAGCTATTTTTTTTTTTAAGTTTTTTTGGGGGGGTTGAGCCTGTAATCACAGTTAATTGGTCTATTTCGGGTCAGGCTCAGAAAATATGATACGAGTTCAGGCTGGGCCGAGTCAGATTTTTAGGCCAGAATGCAACTCTAATCCAGGTGTAATAAAATTTCCTATCTATTGCTTATAACTATAGTTTTCTCAAATGATTTGGGTGGCCAAGGCCACCACTTGCCACCCACTGGCCCCACCACTGCATCTGGTGGTGGAAAAAATTGCTCCCTTCACTCGCCAAGATCCGTCACTCTGCTCTGCCTCGGAGAAGTAAAAAAATAAAAAATAGAAAGCCTCCCTCTGTTCTTCACACTCCTCCCCACTTGAATATCTTGCACCAAAACATATATGTTTACTTTCATTTCCTGTTTAATCCCAATCCAGAATAACACTTGTCTCAAAAACTACAAAATTTGACTATTCTAATCCCTCAGCGATGGGGACACTGGCGTATCGCTTATTGGGGCTTGGTTTAGTGTTGTAGTCAAGACCACCTAACCCGAGACCAAGTCAAGACCAAGACCAGAGTGTACCGAGACCGAGACAAGACCAAGACTTTTGAGGTCCGAGACAAAGTCGATACAAAGACCGCGGGAGGGTGAGAACAAGTCAAGACCAAGACCTCAAGTCTTGGAGCTCAGTCTTTTCACTGATTATCTGTCTTATACCATACCGTCACGACATTGTGACAATTTTAACAAATATAAAAGACGTTTCGTCCTTCATCCAAAGGACTACCTGGATTATTGAGCATGAACTTTGGTGCTTGAACCACTTTGGCATGACTGTCTCAGGGGAGAGGGCTGGTCCCGGAGGCCATCTCAGCACCATCAAACAGTTTTTTTTTTCCCACCATAGAGTATGCTGTTGTGGTGGGAATCAGTTTTGTTTGGTGGCTCCTCCGATCGAAGAAGTCCTTTGGATGAAGGATGAAACATCTCAGCAAAACAAAGAAACCGTCCAGATGACCTGACTGAACTTTGCTGGATATAATTATTTAACCTCCAAGCAACAAACTTATTGTTAAAAAATGTTTTACCATTAAAAGAGAAGTTTTTTTTTTTGCCTTGTTTATTGTCATAACCTGTTTTTGAACCCTCAAACACTCATTTGAAAACATTATAATAGTTTTAAAGCTGGTGGAATCATCTTACATTTTTATTGAAATAATGCTAGTTGCATTTTTTCCCTATTGTTTGTGATCTGAATCTCATCTTTCGTTCTTGTTCTTGTTTTTGTTTGTTTGTTCCAACCCCTCCACCCTGCAGGAGAGAGACCCTTTAAATGTAAGCTCTGCAACTTTGCCTCCACCACGCAGTCCCACCTTTCACGGCACAAACGTGTTCACACCGGAGAGAAACCATACCGCTGCCCCTGGTGCGACTACAGGTACCGGCTCATTGGCCCACCCTTGGCTGTTGGCGCTGATGATCAGGAGGTTGATGCATGGGGGTGGAAGGTGATGTGTCCAAAGGGGAGGTGTGGAAGTGTGTGTGGTTGATGGTTAGGAAGCAGGTGGCATTATAATCTAGTTTGTGTATGCAGGGGCTCAGGGGTGGCTTAATGCTAGTAACTTTGTGTGTGGTTGTGTGTGTCATGAGTGAAAGTGTGTGCGCGGGGGGGGGGGGGGTACAGCATGGATCCATCTCATCACTCTGCCATCATCAACAGGCCCAGCCAGATCTCCAACACACACACACACACACACACATTGTGTCTGCTGGCAGGTCCCTGTCATTAAAACACCATCACACCACATCAGTAATTACACAGGAAATTGTCGGTGAAATTGAAAAAGTTTTGGCTGGCGTTGCACATCTCAATCTCACTCTAGCTTTCTGCCTCTCCCCCCCCCCCCC